CGTGTGTAAACGCTCTAACTGTCCACTATAGAATTTTCAGTGGCTTAAGACAGCCAAGGTGTGTTTCTCACTCACAATGCAGTTTAGTGTGTGTTGGAGGGGGACACTCACTGTGTTCTGTGTTCCTCCAATCCGTGGCCCTGCCACCACCCAGGCCTCGTCCCCCACCATGTCTTCTGCATCACTGGTCAATGAGCAAGAAAGAGCATGGAGGGCACAGTGGGCTTTAGTGCAGCGGTCACCAACCTTTCGGACCTCATGGACCACTAGTGGTTCGCGGACCACCGGTTGGCAACCCCTGCTTTAGTGGGTATGTCACTGCTTCCTGCTTGGAGTGGCCAGAGTCCAGTCACCTTCTCGGTTGAAGGGAGGCTGGGAAACGGGCATAGCTGTGCATTCTGGAAGGAGAGGAAGGCGATGGGTGCTCAGCCTTACAGTCCTGGCCCAGAGGGGCACTAGGGTGTTCTCTGCCCTCAAGGGTCTCAGTGCAGTGAGGAAGGCAGTGACAAAAATAACACCCTCATTGTCCTGGCTGGTTTGACTCAGTGGATAGAGCATCTGCCCAAGGACTGAAGGGTCCCGGGTTTGATTCCGGTCAAGGGCATGTTCCTCCCTGGCCCTGGTCAGCGCATGCAGGGCAACCAATTGATGTCTCATGTGTCTCTGTCACATTGATGTTTCTCTTTTCTCTGTCTCTCCCCCTCCCTTCCACTCTCTCTAAAAATATCAATGGAAAAGTAGCCTCAGGTGAGGATTAACGAGAAAAGAGAAGATCCCCTCGCTCCTGCGTGTGCAGGGGCCATGATGGGACAAGAGAGAGGCAGGGACAATTAGGGGGACTGGAGCAGTTTTCCATGTGGGAACCGGTGGAGGCCAGAGCGCTATCTCCAGTTGAGCTGCTCAGCTTCAGATCTGGTCCATGCTCAATCCCAGTTAAAACCTTTCCTTTTTTAAAACCATTACCTACACGATTAAGTCTAGGCACTTTGCAGGGTGTGGAAGCCTTCCAGGGTGGGGCTCCGCCCACATGGCCAACCTCATCGCTTCCCACTCCCTGCCTGGCCCTCTGAAGCCACTTTCAGCCTGCTATTTCACAGTGTTTATCTTTTTTTTTTTAAAATATATTTCTTTATTGATTTAAGAGAGGAAGGGAGAGGGAGGAAGAGATAGAAACATCAATGATGAGAGATAATCATTGATTGGCTGCCTTCTGTACGGCCCCTACTGGGGATCAAGCCTGCAATCTGGGCATGTGCCCTTGGCTGGAATCGAACCTGGTACCTTTCAGTCCACAGGCAGATGCTCTATCCACTGAGCCAAACCGGCTAGGGCAGTGTTTATCTTTTTAAACTCACTTCAGACACAGTCTCCCACCACATCCCACGAGGCCTATACTGAAGCCCTGTCCCCACAGCACTTTGCCTATTTCACTTCTCCGCAGTCAAGTGGGTCTGCCCCACCAGATGGCAGGCTCTAAGAGGGCGGGACCATGGCTTGTTCATATTCAGCACCCAGCGCTGGGCGGGGCCTGCCACCCAGTAAGTACTTTGTACGTGTTTATAAGGGAATGGATGAGTGTAGGTGAAGGGAAAACTGGAAATGGTTTAGGACAGGGTTGATCACTTTGGCTGTGTGTTCAGGAGCAGTGGAAGCGGAAGGGTTTGGACATATTTGCTATTGATGGCAGAGGCTTCTCAGGGAGGCTGTGACAGAATCCAAGCTGTTTGCCAGTGATGGAGCGCCATCTGCTGTTGAGCTCTCCATGGAGACGTGAATCCTAGCGTGAAAGGGAGCTTTGGAGAGGCCCAGCCTCACCTGTCCTTGTGTAGATGAGGAAACAGGCCCAGAGAGGTGAAGAGATGGTGTGGTTGGTTATCCAGCTGTGGCTGTAGGGGCGGATGGGTCGGAGGAAGACTAACTAGAAGGCCATAGGGCAGGGCCTGGTGGTGACCGAGGAGCCAAAATAGAAGGGAAATGTGAGATGCACTGAGGAGCTGGGTCGAGGGAGGGTCTGGAAGGCAACTGGGTAGGAAGGTATGAGTTCTCTTTTGGGCCAATTCAGTGGTTCTCAACCTGTGGGTCGCGACCCCTTTGGTGGTGGAACGACCCTTTCACAGGGGTCGCCTAAGACCATCGGAAAACACATATATAATTACATATTGTTTTTGTGATTAATCACTATGCTTTAATTATGTTCAATTTGTAACAATGAAATTGGGGGTCACCACAACATGAGGAACTGTATTAAAGGGTCGCAGCATTAGGAAGGTTGAGAACCACTGGGCTAATTGATCTCAAAATGGAACTTCAGACAGAAATGTCGGTCAGCAAGTAGTTGCGTCCATAGCAGTGTACTCTTCTTTGACAGCTGATAACACCAGTTGATTCTACAAGCATCCAAAATAGCTTCTAGTCCCGCACTTATTTTTGGAGACACTCTATTTGAGCAGGTCAGTTTGTTGAATGTCATTGTCAAGGGTACCCTCCATCTTGGTGTAAAAATGATAACAGCAGTTTCTCCTGTTCTTTGACTCCTTCCTAATGGACTCTTGAGAGCTGAACTTGACCTTGCCAGTGGTATCAAATAGCCGCAGCCAGATGTACGTTTAATGGTGTCAGGGCTGAAGCCCAGAAAAGTAACTGCCCTAGAATGACAGCCAGAAAAGAAACCCTCCCTCAACTAGCTTTAACAGAGAAGGAAGAGGGATTGTAAGAGAGGAAGGCGAGTGGAAGGAAGTAAAGGAGAAAGAATATAAATCCTGGTTGTAAGTGACTTGTCCCCTGCTAGAGCCTTAGACAAGCTTGAGAGGTCTGACCAGCTAGGTGACTGTTTCCTGCAGATAAAGAGCCAAGTGTGCCGGTCCTCAGGATATATCTCTGACCATGAAACACACCATTGCTTTTCCCGTGATACTAATAGAATATTGGCATGTGTATCCACGCTGTTCGCACTATACCAGGCCACATCTAACTTATTAGCAATGCCACTAAAAGTCAATATCAGCGTTTGTAACTTTGTGGCTTCCTGAACTTACTGCTATCTATCAAAAGCTCTGCTAGAAAGAATATTATTTAGGGAAGTTTGTCCCAAGTCTGAGAAACACATCCCATCCTCTATAATCTATTCTTTGCCAGACCAGCAAAGAACTGCTGGTCACTTGCTTTTAAAAAACTTAATTTTTAATTATCAACGAGCGGTCATCAAGTCTTTACCAAATGCCTACTGCAATATTAATATTAATTTCTAACTTCCATAGTGTTTTATGGCTCACAGAGTGTTTCCCCACACATGATCTCATTTGATGCTCATGATAGCTGGGTGTAGAACTCAGCGCTGACCTCACTCTGAAGACTCTCGTTGGCTCAGAATACATTTAGGACGCTCTGTTTTAGTTCTTGAGAAGTCTGATTGGGAAGTTGAGTTTGCTGTTTTATTTTTTTTATTTTTATTTTTTTTAAAATATATTTTATTGATTTTTTATAGAGAGGAAGGGAGAGAGATAGAGAGTTAGAAACATCGATGAGAGAGAAACATCGACCAGCTGCCTCCTGCACATCTCCTATTGGGGATGTGCCCGCAACCCAGGTACATGCCCTTGACCGGAATCGAACCCGGGACCTTTCAGTCCGCAGGCTGACGCTCTATCCACTGAGCCAAACCGGTTTCGGCAAGTTTGCTGTTTTAAAATAAATTTTATTTATTGGTTTTAGAAAGAGAGAAAAATGGATTTGTTGCTGCACTTATTTATGCATTTATTGGTTGATTCTTTTTAAAAAAAATATGTTTTATTGATTTTCTACAGAGAGGAAGGGAGAGGGATAGAGGGTTAGAAACATCGATGAGAGAGAAACATCGATCAGCCGCCTCCTGCACACCCCCCACTGGGGATGTGCCCGCAACCAAGGTACATGCCCTTGACCAGAATCGAACCTGGGACCCTTGAGTCCGCAGGCCGACGCTCTATCCACTGAGCCAAACCGGTTCTGGCATATTGGTTGATTCTTGTGTGTGCCCTGATGGGGATCGAACTCGAAACCTTGGTATATGGGGACGATGCTCTAACCAACTGAGCTACCCGGGCCAGGGGGAAATTGAGTTATTTAAGCAAATCTGTGAGCCTTTAGTGCTGAACTGGGAGGGCTCATTCCCAAGAGAGCAGAGTTCAGAAAAGGAGCAACCAGAAGGAGCTGAGGGGTCCCAGACGGCTTAGATAAAGCAGCTTGGGCTTCAGGAGGGTCTTGACAGAGCCTTAGTCAAAAGTAAGTGCTGAGGCCCTGGTGTAAGTTGAGATACAGCGATATAAAAGACAGCTAAGGTGCCTGCCTGCCCTCGTGGAGCTGACTCTGGTGGAGGGAAGACAGATAATACACAATAAATAAATGAGTAAGAAATTAAGATAATAACTGCTCTAAAACCAATAAAGCAGGACTACTTTAAATTAGGTAGTCAGGAAGGCCTCTCTGAAGAGGTGATTTTCAAGCTAATACCTCGGTTACAAGAAGCAGCAGTCACTCTGGCGTCTGTGGGCAGAACACACTGGGCAGAAGAAGCCACCAGTGCAAAGACCAGAAGTGGTGATGTGCTTGGCTTGTTGGAGAAACTGAAAGAGGGTTCCTGAGACATGAGGGGAGGAAGTGAGCAGGAGAGATCAGCCAGGTGTGGTGGGAGGATGGGCAGGCCCACAGGGTGGGAATGGTGAAGAATTGCAGGTGTTGGAGTAGCAGGCAGCTAGGGTTAGCTCAGGGTCTAGCTGAGTTTCCAGAAGCGCAGGAGGTTGCTGGTCTTCAGAGGCTAATGCTTTTACAAATGTACTGTGTGGTGATGGCAATGATCCTTTAAGACATGAGCCCTTCCTTGTGTTTCCTTCTGCAGCCAGGACAGAGATGTACACAGGGACCTGACTCGAGTCCCGCTCCCGGCCCAGCTGTACAGGTGGGCTGCCCCAGAAGTTATTTTGCAGAAGGAAGTCACCGTGAAGTCAGATGTCTACAGCTTTTCCATGATCATACAGGAGATTTTAACAGGTAGATCAAAGAGGACACTGACTTGACCAAAGTCCCTATTCTTCGGTTGGATTCTCTCTCTCTCCCCGCTCAGGAGTTACCTAGTTTGATGAAAATGCAGGATATAGGAAAAAGATTTCTTCAAGAAAACTTCTTTCTGCTTATGGAAGATATAAAATAACCTCAGAGAAATCTTCCTCTTTTAACCTGTTTGTTAAGACTCAGCAAAGCCTCTCTATCAGCTTGTCAGTGGTAATGCATTTAATCCAAGAAAAGTTTTTAAACTGAATATAGGAGCCCCTGAAGAATTTGAAAATGAGTGAGGAAGACTGGGCTCTGAGAAGTAAACTGTGAAGTTAAACACACCCAGGTTCCTTGTATGTATAATCAGTGTCACTTAAAGACATGATCAGTACCTGCAGACAGAAGGAATCCTTTGGGAGAGGGGCACACACACACACACACACCCATAAAACCCCAGTTAGCAGTGTTTACAGTCCCAGAGGCAAAATCACACCTTCTGTGAAAGGAATGGAATGCATTAGTGACCCATGAAATATTCCTGTGGTCCCCAGGTCTGCCAGTGGGAAGCTCATGTGTACATGACTCTGTGACTACTTTTTCCTGTTTCTACAGCAGGGATTCCCCTGGTAAATGGGGAAAGTGGTCTCTCATTTGTGATTGGACTTTCAGGTAGTTTTTCTACAGAAATTAATGTTTAAAGGGGTTGAGTGACTTGACCAAGGACACCCCATATCACCTGATTTCTTAATGTTACTCCTGACTCTTTCCTTAACAGATAACATACCCTGGGATGGCTTAGATGGCTCAGTTATTAAAAGAGCCATAGTCGTGGGAAATTATTTGGAAGCTGACTTCAGGCTTCCAAAACCTTACTATGATATTGTTAAGTCAGGCATCCAGGTCAGACAGAAAGACCGAACTCTGAACCTTCAAGATATCCAGTATATCCTGAAGAATGACCTAAAGGTAAGATCTGAAGCTGTTAGGAGTGTATTTCTGCTTGCTCATCTCAGGAGAGTAGGGAGTTAGAAACCAAGAAGCTAGAGGCCGAGTGGTAAGAATTTTTGGAAATCCTCATTTTATTACACCTATTCTGTGTGAGGGTAGCAAGGAATTGATGGAGGGAAGCTGGGGAGGGTCCATACGTAGTTGGGGCACAGAGTGAGATTCAGTGAATGGCAGCTGTTGTTGTTACTTTTATAATAACAATGGCCCTGGCCGGTTCTGCTCACTAGTTAGAACATTGGCATGCAGACTAAAAGGTCTCAGATTCGATTCCTGGTCTAGGGCACGTACCTCAGTTGCAGGTTTAATCCGTGGCCATGGTCGGGGCACACGCAGGAGGCAACCAATTGATGTGTCTCTCACATCAATGTTTCTCTATGTCCCTCCCCTCCCCTCCCTTCCACTCTCTAAAAGTCAATGAATGTTTAGAGGATTAAAAAACTAAAATAATAATAACAATGAATTAGCTAATTGGGAATATAGTCAGTCTACTCAACAGGAGTAAGAGGGAGTTTATTTGATACCTAGATCTGTTTCAGAAACACCAGTGACATTCAGATGATTGCAAATGTCCTTGATAATTTTTCCCTTGTCACAGGAATTGATTGGAGCCCAGAGAACTCAGCCAACTGAGAGCCCCAGGGTGCAGAGATATGATCGCCATCCTGATGTCGGTGTCTATCTAGGACTGACTTCAGAACATCTGAAAGAGAACCCTGACTTGGAAATAAAAGAGCTGAAGGAAGCGGGTATGGCCTTACCCCACAGGTTTGGCATGAATGTGTTCTGAGAGTCACAGGTTGCAACTAATCAATTCCTCCAAACTGTACATGTCACTCACACTGGGAAAAGATGGGTGCCTTAGGAGAGTAAATCAAGATCCTTGAAATTAAGTTAAAAATTTTGATCTCCATATACACCTTGGTTGGATCCAGAACTAAGCAGTAGCAACCAGGTAATTTCTAGCATGATTATCCTTAGGAATTTATCTAATTGCTTCACAAATAAAAACGATGATTTCTTAATTTAAAAAAAGGCAAAAGATTTATACGATCTGAAGAGAAACCAGAGTATTAATTAATTTAAAACTATTATCTGCTCCTTATAAAAAATGGAGATAGTACAAAGAATAAAATTACTTAGCATTTTAATTCTGCCACTTAGAAATAATTTGTTAATATTTTGGTGTTTCTTCTAATATTTTGCTTTTTAGTTCATTTCTAAACCTTGAATTCAGAGCTGGAAAGCGCCTTGCAGTCATCCTTAATGCGCTCACATTCCAAATGAGAAAAATGAGAAAAGCAAGGGTCAGAGAGGTCGTGGCTCGCTCCAGATTCCAGAGCTCGTTACCCAAGATTCCAGAGCTGGAACCCAAGCCACGTGACCGCTCTCTCTGACTCTCTCTGGACAGGGACAGGGGCCTCCAGAGTGGTCCTCCAAGCTCTCACTGCTTTGGCTCCTCTGTCCTGTTCTCTGCGAGCTGTACACCATCAACCAGGGTGAAGGCTGGTCAGTCTTGGTGTTACTTATTGAGGTCTTATTGTTCCCATGATACAGTGGAGTCTTAGGCAGTGTCTACTTTTATCAAATGCTCACCAAGAGCATAATTTTAACTGACATGAATATTTGAACTCTTATGTGTGTAAAGAAGTCCGTGAGTTTAGTCCTTAAGAGTCAGGGGCCTGTAATTTGCATGACCTGACAGTTATGCATGTTTTTTAAAATATGTTTTTATTGATGAGAGAGAGAGAGAGAGAGAGAGAGAGAGAGAGAGAGAGAAACATCAATGAGAGCGAAACATTGATTGGCTACCTCCTGCACACCCCCTACTGGAGATCAAACCCAAAACCCAGGCATGTGCCCTGACATGGAATGGAACCATCAACCTCTTAGTGCATAAGATGATGCTCCATCAATCCACTGAGCCACACCAGCCGGGCATGCATGTTTTCTTTTTAAACTGAATAATACATTCTGTAGGAATAGAAGGAATGCAACAAGATTAGAATTTTATAATATACATTAGACTTTTATGTAAGAGGTGCTCCATTTTATTCCAAAGAAATTTCCTCTATTTCCCTGTCTTTGCTATATTCTTCAAAGCAATAAATAGTAATTACTACTTTTGTAGATAAGTTGCTCATTTGTGTTAAGCAGTAATTATAACTTTATATTTTAAGTCCTTATCATCTCCAGAAACTCCTTTCTTTTCACTGTACAGTCTCACAGTAAAATATATTGTACTCAAATTCAAAGAGCCAGAGGCCCAAGGATGTTTAAGTACTGATTTAGTAATAGTGTCTACTGGAACCCACCTTCTGTTTATTTACATGATTAAACTGCTGCAGTAATAGAAATGAAAGCTACGTTAATGAAAAAGGAACTCAGGAGAATGAGGTCATTAAATATAACTAAGTACATTTTAAATATAAATAACATGTATTTCCTGATTAGTACCAAGTAAATATCTAAACTATCTATCTTGAATTCTGATCTTAAAAAAAGGTCAGAGATAATTAGGAAGAAGTGCTTCAGATTATCAGGTTCATTTTGAAAACAATGAGTTCCTCTGAGAGTATCACCTTAGTCTTCTTATCAGAGATTTCTGCTGGTCCTTTTGTTGCTAATCCCTTTGTCTCTTGCCCTTATAATCTACTTTGCTTTTGCTTTTATCAAAGGATTCTTGTATAACTGTTTCAGGCCACATATGACTAACAAAGGGGGATTCAGAGGGTATATATGTGGCTCTGGGAACTTGCTGGACTCAAGAGCAAAACTGGAATGACAATCCCAGGTGTGAGCTCCTGAACCACAACCACGGAGCCTAAGTGGAAGTGTCCAGTTATGCATGTTTTTAAAATATATATCTTTTTATTGATTTCCGATAGGAAGGGAGAGGGAGAGAGATAGAAACATCAATGATGAAAGAGGAATCAATCATCAATCAGCTGCCCCTCCAGTGGGGATCAAGCTTGCAACCTGAGCATGTGCCTTGACTGGGAATTGAACCATGACCTCCTGGTTCATAGGATGATGCTCAACCACTGAACCACACCGGCCAGGCAGTTATGCATGTTTTGAGCACACTGCACCTCAAGCTTAGAACATTTCCCCCAGGGCTTGGTCCCTCCCAGATGTTCTACCTCAGCCCATGTCAAAATGGGAACTTTCTCGTAGTTAGAAACACCCTTTGCCCTGCTGTGAGTGTGTCTGGTAGTCTTCCACACCTGGGAAGGGAGTGGGAAAACAGAAAGCTGCTTTCTGCTTTCTCATGTCACTCGAGCAACCACCAAGGCGCTTAGCTGCTGCATGTGATCACTCAACCGTTTGCATGTTACTGCTCCTTTCAACAGGCAGTCAGCTGCATTCACCAAGGAATCCCAGCGAGAAGGCCACACCAGATCCTCAGGTCCCAGGTCCCAGTCTGATGACCAAGGAGGCTCAGAGGCAAGATGCTGCTCCTCCTGCTTGCTTTGTGGCCAGGAGCCCCAGCTCAGGGCCGTCAAGCCTTTGCAGCTTCGAAATGAACGAAATC